AGCGTAGCATTGTGATTTGAAAAAATATATATATATATATATATATATATATATATATATATATATATATATATATATATATATGTATAATATACCCATAATATAACTCAGAGAGAGAGAGAGAGAGCAGCTGTGCTATAGGCCTACTGACCACTACTACGTCAAAATAGCCAGAACCAGAGCCATCCTCCCCCAACACCCTTTACGTGTCACACACTTACGATTAAACCATTAAATGTATACAAGTGCAATCTTCTGTCAGAAAACGTCCATCACAACAAAAAGTTGACCATCGCTGTCAATGTTAGGTTTTGTTGTATGATTACAAATGTTAGGTTTTGTTGTATGATTACACATTTAAATGTGTGAGGTCAGACAAAATCTTTAACCCCTTTTTGAGGGGTGGGAGTTGGGGGGGGGGATTGTTTTCAAGTCTCAGGGGTGAAGGTGGAAGGAAATTGATTAGCATGCAAATTAGGCATTGTGACACCGATTGACAACAAAGAACTGAGTTGACTATGGCTGTGGCGCGCCCCAGGGTAATCTTTTGGCACCAGCTTAGATACAACCCAGTACTTCAGCATTGACTGGCGTGAGGAAAAAGGGGGAGTTAGAAATTGAGAGTGCCGAAGACTCCCGAGTAAAAGCGAGGGCAGGGTCTGGGGAATGAGGCTATTTAGTACCTCCCCCGAAAATGTTTGATGAGTTCAAAAAGCCAGAATGTGTTTTAGCACGTAATTTAATTTAGTTTTGCATCATACTACACTTAATCGGAGGGCAGCGGGAGAGATGCTAGTTAAAAATGTGGATGTCACTTGACTTCAGAGCCGTCATATGCACCCGGCAACCCCTTCAACTGCAGGAGACCTTGTATATGAAGGGGCTTAAAGTTGTGATGTGGACACTTTTTTAAATTATCAACTTTAAATGCGTGTGGTGGGGGTTGGGAGAGGGGCAAAAAAAAAAAAAAAAAAAAAAAAAAAAAAAAAAAAAATATTAAGAACTTTTAAAAAACAAAAAAAAAAAAAAATAAGGGGCTTAAAGTTGTGATGGGGACACTTTTTTAAATTATCAACTTTAAATGCGGGTGGTGGGGGTTGGGAGAGGGGAAAAAAAAAAAAAAAAGAAAAAAAAAAGAACACGAAAATTGTTAGGGACTTTTAAAAGTCAAGTGACAGATAGATTTGATTTAACTAAATATGATATAGAAATATTTATTCTAAAAAATAAAGTGGGTCAAAACGAAATTAAACAATTTTTAGGTTAAGTTGATTAATAAATAAATAAATTTAAAATGAAATTTCGCCCAAACAAGTTTTCTATCATAAAAAATACAACTAACGTCATTATACATGTTGAACGCAGAATAACAAAAGAAAAATCATCTTACGTATAATAATGACCTTTTCTAAATATGTTTAAGTTTTACCGGAGTCCAAAATAAAAACAAAAACTATTTTTGTTTACATCGTTCGGTTGTTTAAACTGGTCATTTGTATCCAGCATATCAGAATGGCATTATTATGTTAAGAAGACATGAGATGGTTTTATTTAATAATGGGTAATTTGACCTGAGGGACAGCGTATCAAAATAAATTATATATTTCTCAACATTCAGTTGACTGAAATGTTGATTTGGATTTTCAGACTGCTATAACTTTCTTCAAATTAATTATTAAGTACCTCATGGGTCTATCTAAAAAAAAGTTTTTGTAACAAATCCATAGAATTAATTCTATAACTAGAAGTCAAATATTTGGAAAATAACGTGATAATCAAAGTGCCAGCTTTCAAAAGCATTTCAAAATTTAAAAAAAAAAAAAAGATTTATACTAAATTTGCATCTAGAAAAAAATAGATTTAAAAATGCACGCAAATAAATGGGTGAGGCAGATTGTTTATTATTCTGACACGAGACTCTGTTGTAACTATTCTATGGCAGCTTCGAGTGTTTTGTTTTTTCTATTTGTATCTATGACAGATCGTTTCCGCTGAGTCGTACTAATGACATAGAAATGTACAAACGTTCCTGACGTTGTGTATATCATTTATAAATGTAAACATTACATATGCCTACACATATGGCATCGGGAATTCAATGATGTGAATTGCATGACAATTAATTTCTCATTCTTGCGATGTGCTTTGCTTTTATTGTATTTGCGCCAAAAGGGGCTCTTATATTAATAAACAAACTTGATTTCGACACCCATGACACTCTAACGGTCGCAGCACTTTGCTGTAGATCGCTAACTCTATCAACGGTGGCGGCATTTTGCTGTAGATCGCTAACTCTATCAACGGTCGCAGCACTTTGCTGTAGATCGCTAGCTCTATCAACGGTCGCAGCACTTTGCTGTAGATCGCTAACTCTATCAACGGTTCGCCGGGTGTGATATTTCGCAGTCGGAAAGTTAGGCAGAGCCAGGGTAGGGATCATGATTACAAGTTGCCGTTGAAGGGTATGAGGTCAGAGGCGAGGGTGGTAACCTCTGGCCGAGGATTAAATAAATGCAGCCGTGAGAAAGCTGTCCCTAGGCAACCGTTTCGTCCCCGCTACATCGTGAGCTAGTCGCGTTGTGGAAACCCACTGTGGAGTCCCTCTTATAGGGCGTCCGACGCTTTCCCGGGATGGGTGGGGGAAGATATTAGGACGTAAATTTTTCCATCCCAACTCCTGAGAAAGTCGATCGAGTGCACTGTTTAAACGCATAGTGTCGGATCGACCGGGTGCCTCCTGGTTGGGGCGGCCCCCAGGCGGGGTCCTGGTCGAGCGCCCAGGCGGGGGGACTTGGGTGAGGGGCCCGTGTGGGGGCCGTCCTGATGAGTGGGCATCTCCAACGTGCCGCTCCGCGGCCCGATACGTCGGACCGGGGAGGGGTAATTTGGGGGGGGGGGGCATAAGAGTCTAGACTCGCCCTGCTGACGCCATTTCTTAATGTAACATATCAACGGTTCGCGCCTAACGCCTTGCTACAGACACACTTTAAAATATAACAAAAATTAAGACTTCAAGCCTGAATACAATATGTGTAACGTAATCAAATCAAATTATGTCCATTCCATTTATTGAAATGTAAAATAAAACAGCATATCTTATTATTAACTTTTTTTTTTTTAAAGATAGCAATGACGTCATGTAATGTCGTGTTGTATAATCTCGCTGGATGCACACCCATGACGACATATCCTGAACTTGAATGGCGTTCCCGTCCATGGAGGACACGGCCGTCCGTGGACTTTAAATAGAACAGCCAGATATAGTAACAAAAACCATTAGGGTAAATGTTTCTTTTTACCTATTTTTTTGTCCTTAATAAGTGTTGTATAATTCTAATTGATGGTAAGTTATTGTTTAGTTGTATCCATAAAAAAAATAGGTTTGCATTGGTAAGAGTAAGTTGTAAAGCTAATATAATGATCTGAAGCTTTTGACTTATTGGTTAAATCTGGTATAAAAACACGAGTGTCATTTGGGGAGGGCAGAGGGCATTTAACCCCAACGCCCTGAATTTTTAGGAAATAAATTGCAGACTGCTGTAAATCAAACGTAGTAAGGAATAAAAAAGAAACATTCGATCATTAAAAATTGACCCGAAAAAGATCCTAATCTGGCCATTCTTTTTTAAATTGCCATGTACTGTGACGCCTCCAATAGTACCAGTGTTCGGTCAATCGGTCAAACTGAGTCAATCACAAGCTTGTGGGCTGCAGTTTTATCCTCAGCAAAAACAACACCAGCCTCACGGGTGGATGCGACTCGTTAACCTTGGATGGAAACTAACCTAAGAGAAGGCAAACTCTGCAATCAAACCCGGAGATGGAGTCCCATAGGCGTTTAGACATTGAGAAAATTTAAATTATATGACAACTCCTGCGACGTAGAACGCTTGAACATATTTCGAAACAGTTACACTTTGAGTGGTATTGTGAAAGAAGCTGATGCCATTGGAGACCAAATGGAATTGCACTGAACAACAACTACGAAACAAAGGCCTCACAGAGCCAGGGCGATGTCCACACAAAAAAAAAAAAATATCAGCATATGCAGTGCTGTAAACAACTGGGAACACAGTTACAATATCGACTTAATCTCATGAGGATTCAATGTGTGCGAAAATGCTTTTTGCGTGTGTAGACAAGATCATATTTGAAATCGATGCACTATACACGGTTAACTGTAGCGTTCTGAAATGTGTGTCGGCATTACACTCAAGTTCGTCAAACATGCTCGGATTCAGTAAACGGACTTGTGAGATTATATCCTACAACCGGTATCGATACAGTTTTGACCATTCATCCCCTTCGAACATGCTTGAGTCGTCTTCCACTTGGTTTTCAGTGAGCTTTAGGGGGTAATCGACTGTGACCTGACATTGCCGGTAGCATCAGTTGAAAACGAAAGTACCGTTATAGCATGAAAAGAGTAAAAACACATCTCCGAAATAGATGTAGAGACACACGACTCAGGGATCTGCTGGTCGTTGTATGCCTCCAAGAAGATACACAAAATTGTAATCACTGATAAAATATATTGATGATTTAGGTCATTGGAAACAAAGTCGATATCCTTTGTTTTAGCAAATCGTTGTAATAAATTTAGTTTGTTATACTGACAAAACGATTTTGCTTATCTTTTCCACATTGCTTGTAGGTTGCAGTGTAGCAAATACAAATAAATAGATCAAAACCTAATTTCAAATAATTTCTATTGTATTCAGTGACAACTTTTGTAGCTGACAATGCAGCATATTCACACATCTGGCAGAACTGGCTAGCACATGTGGACGAAATAACCAATTCAACAAGCCGGCCAAGTTTTCCCTCCCAATTCAAAAAGTCTCCCCCTCACCCTCTGAAAAAACTTGACATGACGTCCCTGGATAACAATAAGTTATAGAATTCTTTTATCAAATGGAATAAACTTTTAGATCTTAACTATTTTCTCGTCCAGTTTCATGGTTGTTGTCATCAAGATGCATCATAACATTAAACGATACATCCAGAAACCCTAAAATAATATTACCAGGAAATAGTTCATTCCTGTAAAGCGAGAAGAAAGTCGAAGAAATAAAAGCAGATTTTGGGTTTATGATTGTATCCAAGGCACACGGGGGATTGTTGAGCACACCTTATAGTAAAACCTTAGATGGCTCCATGGTAGCCTGTCCATGGTAGCCTGTCCATGGTAGCCTGTCCATGGTAGCCTGTCCATGGTAGCCTGTCCATGGTAGTCTTTCCATTGTAGCCTGTCCATGGTAGCCTGTCCATGGTAGCCTGTCCATGGTAGCCTGTCCACTTGGAGATTTCAAACAAAATTAACAGAGTGCCTGTTACGTACCATTATAATATGATTTTGCAAATTTGATATGTTTTAAGATTTGGCTCGTTAGATGAACACTACGTAACAATGGACTGAAAACAAGTATACACATAAAAGCATACCAATTCTTTTTTAAATTAACATATACAATTTAATTATATTTCTACTTTATAGAAATATACAAAATCAAATAAGCAGAAATAAAAATTATATTAAATATTGCACAGCAAGTGAAATACGTAAATCTTCGAAAGGTACACATTTTAATGTACACATACACACGAACAAATTGTAAAATCTTGTAAGGCCTCTATAAGTATATCAAGTCTCGGAATATTTCTCCTGTCTAGGAGATCTAGCAAAAGTGTCCTGACGGGGAAAGCTGCCATCTTATTTAAAGGGCTGGAGTTAGAACAGTCCAGAAAAGAAATTCTAGAAATTCCATCACCCGATAGCATGCTTTAGAGCAAATTAGAAAATTACTGATCCTTTACCCAGTCAAAAGAGGGGGTTGGGGTTAATGATAGAGTGCTACACGTTTTATCGTTGACGTAGGTATTTTTTTTAAAGTGCGTGGTGGGGGGGGGGGGAGGGGTAAGGCTGCATGTCGTGGTTTTTGGTTAACGAAACGTAGGTTTGCACACAGGCTATAACAATGCCTGGTATGGGTTTTACATTATTATTTTAAAATAAAATTTTATCATGTTTGCTTAACTCAGAAAATTTTAACAACGGGTTATTCCTTATAAAATGTGTCAAAGGTTAAGACTTTTATGTTGTGTGAAGGTGTGTTTAGATCGTGTCAAAATTCAAGAAGAAAAAACAAAATTCATACCTTAAACTTCAGCAGTTTGCCAAACTAATGCGTCTTAAAAATAATAGAAAGGAGTATCAATTTACAATTTTTTTTTAAAGAGATAACAAATTTTTCTTTGAACATTTAAAATTAAACCAGAAATATTTAAAAGGGAGGGAAAAAACGCTAATCATAGTTAGAGGAGAATGTCACTAAAATAATTATGTGCTAAGCTTTGTCATTTTATTTATCATAATTTTAAAATATACGATTGTTTCTGAAACTGAATTCAAGTAATGATAATTTTTTCTAGTTTGCTTCACTTTCTCCTCAAAATTTAGCCTAGTCGTTTAGCCGGCGCCAAGAACAGCCCATTAGACCAGCAAGCCAACCAGTAAAAAACAACAACCCACCAAGATGCCCAAGAAAAAGCCAGAAGAAGAGAAAGAGCCCATCCTCACCGAAGAGAAAAAGATTGCGTTCACGGCTATAGAACAACAGCTGGATGAACTGAACAACATTGGTAGGTGCACCGGTTCCAATGGTAGGTTCACTGGTTAGATTGCTAGGTAACGGGTAAGTTGGTCGGTCTATGTGATGTTCAATTCGTTTGTGTATAAGCTAAAATGTATGGTGAATGCGTCTTATTGGTACGTTTATATACTAATTATGGCTCTATGTTATTATGTCATATGGGTAGGTTTATGTTGCATTTGTTAATATGGCACTCGTCGTTTTATTTTTTAATCGTATTATTTATTTTGCTTCAGGACTAAATTTACTTCAGTCATCAATTGCGCTCCAACAAAGAATTTTACGTGCATTCGTTGTGAATAAATTATCATGTTTTGTTACAATAAGTTCTTTTTCTATTTATGTAATTATGTATATTTTATCAAATAGACGTTAAGTGGAAGCCATTTCCTTTAAATCTGACCCCTTTTGTTACTTTTCATTACTCAATCACGAACCACTGTTAAGAAACAAACTTGTGTATGTCCAGGAAAAGACATTTGGCGTTTGAGAGAGAAGCCGGGGAAAGAGTACAAATGTCACGACCGGATTGTTCGGTTCCTGAAGAGAAAAGGTTTTAAAGTAACCGAGCGTTTCAAAGGTTTCAAGACATCTTTCAGGTTTGTCTCTCACGTGGATGCTGTCTTGTTGCGCACGCGTATTTGGGTTTGTGTTTTGGAAGGAGAATGACTGTAATGTGTTGTCTTTGTCCATTGGAAGGTGAATCACTCTAATGTGCCGTGTTTGTGTGAAATGAGTGGAGGGAATGTAATTAGTAGTAACGGTGTCAACAATATTTAACACGCACAATGTCCAGGAGAGTGTACTTAACATAAACATACACTTCAAGTACATTCTCTTATTGATATATGAATTCGAATGTAGAAAATATAGGCAGATAATTCGTCGAAACTCGACTCTGGACGAGCAAGGGCATTGCCCATATGTTGAGGGTAATAGTAACCTCCCTTTGACTTCAGCTATTCCTCTCATCTCAGCTGCTTCTCTCCTATGGGAATCAAGCGCCTGCTTATGGGTAACGATCAGTTAGCAGACGCTTTCAGCATACGATGGCATGTAGCAGCTGACGCTTTAGCGGGACTGTTAACGCTTTATGGGGAATCCCCAAATTCGCCTTAACTCTTTCTCACAGCTTGCTGTATAGAATCGCTGGCGAGTAAATAGCATCGTCTCAATGCTCTCCTTACAGACCCCCCACTAGACACATAATTGCCTCGATGCTCTTCTTATAGGCCTCCACTAGACCCCAGGCCCCCACTAGACACATATTGCCTCGATGCTCTCCTTATAAGCCTCCACTAGACCCCAGGTGCCCACTAGACACATAATTGCCTCGATGCTCTCCTTATAGGCCTCCACTAGACCCTAGGCCCCCACTAGACACATAATTGCCTCGATGCACTCCTTATAGGCCTCCACTAGACCCCAGGCCTCCACTAGACAAATAATTGCCTCGATGCTCTCCTTATAGGCCTCCACTGGACCCCAGACCTACATTACACATTATTGCCTCGATGCTCTCCTTATAGGCCTCCACTGGACCCCAGACCTCCACTACACATTACTGCCTCGATGCTCTCCGTACAGGCCACCAATTGCCCACATTTTTGGGGTCATTCATTTCACATGGTTGCCTTTTGTGTCCCCAGGGCCGAATTTGGCGAGGGTGAGGTCGGTGGTGTTGAACATCCGAACATAGGCTTCCTATGTCAGTATGATGCAGACGACGCCACTGGTCACTCTCGTGGACACAATCTGGTCACAGTTGTGGCTCTGACAGCGGCCCTGGGTCTGCAGACTGTCATCAAATTTGCTACAGAGCCGATTGGCATGGTAAATAAAAAATGTTTGTAAACATTCAGCAAATTTGATAAATAATATAAATACACATTTGTTCAATCTACTGTAAGTGTTTAAATATTTTCATCATTTTCATGCCAGGTTAACAAGCATATGCAAAAACTTAAAAAAAATAAACATTGGATAAGATCTGACTGGTAACTCTCGTGAATCTTGGTTATTACACCGCGCTTGTTTGCGTTTAAAAAAAAGGGGGGGTGGGGGAGGGAGGTGGCGTGGAGTGGGAAATGAAATTGAAATGAATATTGGACTCACTATAATTGCTATGTTGTTACGTGTTCATTTATTGCCACAGATATTTATTTTCCTGGCGTTTCAATAAAAAGTTAAACGTACTCGTCTTTCACTCATGTAATGGTTTTGATAAGTGAAGAATTAAGCAACTTGAAAAGAATTAAATGAACATTATCAATTGACCTTCGTTAATTCATCATGAGGTATTCTTGTTCATATATATAAATCGTTATACACTTCCTCGATGAGATTTTTAACATATTATTATTAACTTGACATCTAATGGGTTTGTTTCGACTTATGTGAAATCATTCTCAAAGATCATCCCAACATCTTTGAGAGCTAAACTCGGACGCCCTTCGTCTTGAGACATGACGTGATCTATCCGATTTTAAAAAGATTCTCTCGGTATCCATTGGAATAAATTGTTTAATTAAAACGTTTAAGTTATATATATATATATATATATATATATATATATATAATAATAATAATAATTGTTGAGACCTTTACAAGTTTTCGTCCTTCCCTCTTTAGGTGACCGTGATAGGATGCTCAGGGCATCCAGACAACATTGGAAAGATCTTGATGTTTGACGAAGGCTGCTTCAAGGGCATTGACTTTCTGCTGACGGCGTACCCCTCCCACCACACCAACATCAAGCCCCAGTTCATGGGCATGCAGATGTAAGTTGGACTCACTGCTGATTTTGGGATTTTAAGTTGGAAGGAAATCGTCCAACTCAGTCTCAAACCTTTACAAAAGTCCATTTGAGGTGAACTCCCAAAATCACGATTAAAGAAACGGAAGAATTTAAACTATAATATGAATTGTACATCTTTCCAGGAACAAGGTTATATTTCGGGGACGAAGTCGACCGGATGGGGACCGGCCCTGGGAAGTTGCCAACCCCGTGAATGCTGTTGTGTTGGCGTACCAAAACATAGCGGCCATCAGACAGCAGTTCAAAGAGGACTGGGTCGTCAAAGGTAACGGTCGGATTGTTAAGACTCTGGTCAACGGAATCTTACCGATGGGGTGGGGCGGGGGGGGGGGGGGAATCCCTAAATGTGTTGGTGGGGGAAGAATCCCTAAATGTGTTTGATGGGGAAAGCCCATGCACATAAATTATACCGGTATTCCACAGAGAAAGGAGATGCACGTCCGTAAAGCATTCAGATAGTTTTTGGGCTGTCATTTGATGGCCGACATTCAAGATTATAAGAAGAAAAAAAAAGTTATCATTATCTTATTATGTATCTCCTATAATACGTGCATGAGTGGGGTTTTTTTTTGGTGTTATATTTCAGTTTTTGTATTTTACAGATATTTTAAAATCCAGATGTCCTAAATTGTCCTATTTTCTATATAACATATATTTTTATTCCAAATGTCCTAAACATCATTTTGTCCTAAACTCCAGATATGTTATATTCCATATGTCCTAAAACCCAGTTTTCCTATATTTCAGTACTTCTATCTACCCATTGCCATGTCATGCACCTATTTTATTCCCATATTGACGGTTTCATTCATGATAATGAGCCTACGAGTCGTCTTAAAGAGTCAAACCTTGAGTTATTTTCAAAGCTCAACAATTTTCGTTCAACATAACCACATGACGCATGAGCTCATTGCCATTGATGAGCCGTTGTTATTTTTACCAACTATTTTTTCGGTTTACTGCCTCCAGGTATAATCTGTGATGGTGGGTCTAGAGCAGACGTCATGCCGGAATTCGCGTCCATGGAGTTCATGACGAAGGCCCCCAAGCCGGTCGAGATGAAAATTGTCAACGAAATGCTGCAAAGGTGCTACGAGGCCGCGGCCATTGCAAGCGGGTGTAGGGTGAGTTGGGGTGTCTGAGACTATCATTGACAGGTTCTTGACAGTTTTTGTTTGGTTAGATGTAAAGCCCTTGAATGGGGAAGGGAAAAAAAACGGGGGTCGGGGGGGGGGGGGGGGCGTGAGGGGAAAGGATTTTTTAACAGGTGGCAACTTTTTTTGTTTTTGTTTTTTTTGTTGTTGTTGTATGTTGTTGTTGTTCTACCCAAAAGGAGAACAATGATTAACTACTGATACACTAGTCTCCGTGGATAAAAGAACGTTCATAAACTATTAATGGTGTGCGCAACACCAGTGTCATAGATACAGAAGAAAAGGACGTAGAAACTAAAGCAGGCAGAGAACATGTTTTTATTTTTGTATCTAATTTACGGGGAAGATCCATGGCAAAGCGAACATTTGCGCAGCCGCTTTGAGCACTGGTGCCATCTCTTGGCTGCGTCTGTCATAACTACATGTCAGTATGCTTTTTAAATCCTTGTGGTTGGTTGGGGGGGGGGGCATTCATTCTGTGTTGTACACAAAAACAAGATATATGTTTTGGATTAGATTTATTTTATCTTCACTATCCGTATATCATTAAAACAGTTTGAGGTCGATGCCACCGTGAAGGAGTTTTTCTGTAACGTCACGTGCCACCGGCTGGTGGAACTCTACAAGCACAATGCGGCACTCATGGGGTTTACGTTCCACAACAAGAAAAAGGGCATTGAGGTAAACAGCATCTCGCTCTCATCTGTAACGTCTACGTAATTTACCAAGTGAAAGTACACAGCGGGAATTATAGGTTTTGATACACATTCACAAGCCAATCGTTTCCTTGTAGTTTAAAACTTTTTGAGGGGATAACTATTTATCACACGATAAAAAAAAAAAAAGATTGCACAAAGCACATCATTTTAAAATAAATCGTAATTATTTAACGTTTGATTTCTGACTATATGTGTCGGTGTTATGGTGTTGAGTCGGCACTCTCCTCACAAGCGTGAGCTCGTATTCAAATCCCATTGGAGGAAATTATTTCCCTCGTCTCAGTTTACGTCTAGATTGAACCTTGCAAAATATGTTGTCAAAAGTTAATACAGTGCAACTAAAATAACACGATTTTGATAAATATCTTAACTCTCCGTCACTTTAACTCCAGTGATATATTTTATAATGTTCCATGAACAGACTATAATGCTGTCTCAAGAGTATCCAAGTTAAAATGACTAATTTAATAAACACGATTTTAGAGATCTAGCATTGACTTTAATGCTAAACCGTTTTCCGCGGTGTTGTCTTGTTCATTACATGTTGTCATTATTTGGCAAAATATCTGCTGTCTGTTGCCAGGCCCCCGATGACATTGCCAATTTGACTACTTCTGTGCCAACGCTCAAAGTATTTTACTACGCTGGAACATCTGTGGAGGTCGGCACAGATGAGTTCAGTAGATACGCTGGTAGGTACAATCGAATTCAGAAGACAACATATTTTACATTAACTGGTAGGAGATGTCGTCAGCCGATAGGTCTATAGGTATAGATGACTTCAGTGGATAAGTTTAATAGGTATGTCTGAAGTCAGTAGACAGCTGATCGTGATAACGTTAGTAGATAGGTTGATAGATAAGAAATAGTATGGATACAATCAATAGTAATGATGGGGGGAACTGGATATTAAATATGAATTCAAGATATATGATACCATATACCAAAATATGTGATTTAAAAGAAATGATTTCAGCTTTATAAATCAAAGATTCGAAGCAAAATGAATGTTTATGAATATAATAAAATGTCATTTTTATGACATTTATGTAAAATACTAATAAACAAATATTTTAATTTTAAAAAAAATAGCTTCAATTCCATTTGCAAGTATTTTAAATAAAAAAAAAATCATTAAAAAACATAATCAATGGTGAGACACGTAACGCCACCTGTCTAAACATAAGTGCCTGACACATGCTCCACTCGCCTCCATATAGTTAAGTGCCCTGCTGCACTGTCTTAGCGAAGGCTTGAATAAGTTCATGGTGTGTGTGTGATCAGTGGCGTAACTAGGGTGCACGGGCCTTTTCGATTGAACCTCACAGGGGTGACAACAAAAGAACATTTGCAAAATTGACAGATTTAGCCCTTTTCAGCGAACAGACAACAGTAAAAACAATATAACGTTAAAAATAAGCACTTACCTGCCACGTAGGGTCGCTGTTTTGTTGGGTCATTTTGTTCAGGGTTTCTTATACTTTGGCTTATTTCCTTCTCCCTGACTGTAGTCTCACCCAACTTGTTACACCATTTTAAAGTTTAAACAGTAAAGTTTAAATAGTTTAAGGTTTCAATTAAAAGTAATGTGGTTGTGAGTTGTGATATCCTGTATGATCTAGTTCAGAACTACTCTGTCAAGGTCGTGGGTCACACCATGAGTTTACCGCCCCGGGTGGCACCAACTCTAGTGACGCCTCTGTGTGTAATAGTTTCAATGTTATGTGATACGTTTTTTTTTTATCCACTTTGCAAATCCAAGTTCAGATTTGTTTTTTTTAATTAGTTTCGTATTTCATACAAGTAAATTTTCTACTTTCAAATTTAAATTACCAACAATTAAGAAGAAATTAAATAATTATTTTATAACTTTCTGGTATTTTGAGACATAACGTATTCAAATTCCAAATACTTTGGACAAGATAACTAAATTTGCACTATTCCATTTTTTTTTTTTCGTTATTGAGAAAAATGTCTAAAATGTTTTGTTTCACAGGATCAAAAGAATGTGAGTTTATGAGTATCGTACAAGGCAAGGCGCTGGCCATGATGGCGATTGACCTTATGATATCTGAGGAGAACATGAAGGAAGTATTCGAGGAGCATCAGTCTGAGCTGGTCAGGCTCTACGAGTCGGCGGGAATCATGACCGTAGAAGCCAGCCAGCAATAACTTTTTTTTTGCTTTGATTCTTTCACCAACCCACTCTCCTTCTCTTTCTCTCATATCTTAGTCTTAAGCAAGCATAAAACTACAACGAGAAAAAAATACAGAATCATGGTCATTGGTGCCCATTAGAACATGTCCAGCTGGTGTTGCGTTGGCTGCCTTGGGTTATTTTTCCATTTTTTTTTTTAAATTTGGAATTAGTCCTAATTTCTGAATAGCTATACAAAAGATATGTTTGCAAAATCATATTCTGTCCCTGTTAAGGCCACTAATATTATATATGCATAATTTAAATGAAAACAATATTTGTACTTTTTATAAAATTAGAAATGTCCATTGGTAATAGATATTTGGTAAAGATGTCACAATGCAGGCATGACCTGAAGCTGTCACAATGCAGGCATGACCTGAATCTAAGACAGATAATTGTCCAAATATATGCATACAAATTTTCAAATTACTTATTTTAAAAAAATGAGATCCCAATAATATACATGATGTTCATTGTAGCTCAAATAGCGTTTTGATATATATATATATGTAAATAAAGTTATTTATTTCAACGAAATACAGGAATCTTTAGAAATAAAGGAATCTTTACACTTGTTTGTTTTAAAAATCAATAGGAAAATAAAAGGTTGAACATTTGTGAATATTTCCTGGCAAAGGATATGACAAAAAATTTTTAAAAAAAAGAAAAGCTGAGGCCATCATAACAGTTTGTTCACAATCTCAAGGAAGATGACAACATGATTGCCGACCACAACATGTCAGGCATGGTAGATTTATTAGGTAAACAGACGAATATCCAATGATTGAAAATAACTTTAAAATATAATTTTAATTGCAAATTCATACAAATAACGGCCTCATTTTGAATATTTGGTCAGTACTTCTCACCAATACCCCTAGCCCTCCACAACCATATTATCAATAGTTTCCTTCAACTCAATTAGTTTTTTAAAATTTATCAGTAAATTTGTTTCCCAAAACACAACTAAATTATTTTTAACCACTTTTTACACTCATATAATCTATTTGCCATGCAAACCAAACTGGTTTCCTTCTAGTGGCTTATTGAGCAAACCAAGTGACTCTATGGCTTTTAGTTGTCATGGATTTCATCTCTGATTCCTTTATGAAAGTTAGTGGGGGTGGGGGTCCAAATTAAACCAGGTCTTGACTTAAGTCTGGTTACCTGTCTCTAACTAAAAAAAAATTATATAGCAAGAGAGCATTTGTTTTGGGTGAGCCGCTTTCCCTTTGTAATTTTATTTTTACATTTAAAACTTAATCATACAAAATTTTCCATGGCCTTTGTTACTGGCAATGGGCTCAATGGAAGTAAATTAGTAATGGATAAAAAAAATTCATATCCCCTGAAGTGGGGGATCTTGTCAGAGTTTCGCACAAAGTCAGGGATTCTCATGGATGATCCATCTATGTGGATCAGAAGACACAATACAGTTGTGTTATTTGCTCTACAATGTAAGGTTTGAAAATTGTTTCTACAAATTAAGATAAATTCATTGTGAAGAGAAACCAGTCAACTTACTTGAACTTTACTGAACTTCATTTAATCCTAGTAATAAAGTTTTTATATTTTAAACAGATTTTTCATCCTCAAAGTTTACATATTAAAAAAAAATATCAAAGCCAGTTTTAATTTTCAATATGAATTTTTATTTATTTCAAAATGAAACAAATCCAGCGTAGATTTAGATACAATTTTAAATCAATTTTGATTGCGCTCATGAGTTGCTGCATTTTGAATTCAAAGTAAAAATGGCAAATCAATGCCAGCACTCATTCAGAAGGGAGCGAGAAAAGTGGGATCAGGGGATTAATTTGATGATTTATAATTCAAAGGCGTATAAATTGTGAAAAATTTGTGACAATGGGGAGGGTTCCCAAATTGCAACAAAAAAAAAAAAGCATTCACTTGTGGGTGGCTCCCAAACAAAACAATTAAATGACAATGTAAATAATGTAATGGTACATCAACTTTAATTTTTTTAAATAATTTACCACATAATACTGCAAACAACAGTTAAATGCAATTAAAAAGATAATAAAAAAAACGGATGCTTATCATGACAGGAATGTGACATTTAAGCAAACTGCAACACTATTTAGCAAACTCGACAGGAATGTGACATTTAAGCAAACTGCAACACTATTTAGCAAACTCGACAGGGATAGCAGTTTCTTTGGGAGCTTCAATAGCTCGTTTGGTGGCTTTGATGCTGAGGACACCATTCGAATTCAGTGAGGAGGTAATAGATTTGGCATCAACATCCTGAAAAATAAGACAACCGAATAGTTTTAAATCCATAAAAATGTATTTCTAAATTAAGAAACGATCTTAAAATATCCAAAATAAAAACTAAAGAGTTCATGCTTAAGGAAAGTCTGTTTTTTTGTTGTTTTTTTAATAGTCAAAATGTGAAGCCGGTTTTGCCATTAACCCTATAACTGTCAAGAACAATTTTCTATTGCGTCAAGCCACTTTTAGCAATTTCATATGCTTGTGAAAAAAGACAAAAATCCCAGACTAAATGAATTCAGAGACCCCCAAGCATAGATTTTCTGAAAGTACATTGGACAAGATAATCATATGATATGAAAATAATTTATTAAAATTTTATTACCGTACTCAACTGTTGAATTCAAACAACCCTGAATACTCCATAAATTACTCAAAATATAAAAATCAAGCATTTTATATACTATAAGCAATTTCCTTTCAGAAAATGACTTGTTATAGTTACTTATATTGTAAATTGTGACTTAGGTTAATTTTTTTTTTCATAACCTTCAAATTTCTGTAATACAAAATACAAGGAGGGAAGGCACAAAATGAGTTCAAACATTCCTTTTCAGTTGGAGTTATTAAATCTAATCTCTATTAATTATACTACAGAACATAAACAAAAATACACATCTTTGGGGTAAATCTTTCGGAACAAATGTCTTTGTTCAATTTCCATCCTTTCCCAAACAAAATTGTAACAATACGACTAAGCTTAGGGATAAAATTGCAACTATACGACTCTTTAATCGACATCACCACTAGAGTTAATGCCTAATGCTGTCAATACTAGCACATAGAATATCTCCGATATCTTTTCTTTCATTTATTTATATTTTAAATAATTCCAATGAAGAAATTCTGAGTTAATTTTAAAATCTAGACATCAGACGACATGGCGATCATAAAATTGAAGAAAAGTTCACACCCGATTAACCACACAAAAATCCACAATAACAATTGTAAACACTCTGATAGTAACGGAAATAGGAAGCAAACTTATTTATTTAGAGTGATTTCCGCTGGAACAATACACATTAAATCTATTCGTATTTTTAATGACGATTTTGCTAACGACCAATTATATTGGCCGCAATACCACAGAAAGGGGTAAAACGGCAGATCACTGGCCATTAAGACAGGTAAACACAGGTTCTAAAATCTAAGATGAATAAAACCTTTTAATTAAAGGTTGTTTAAGAAATGAAGTAAATTGCTTTAATCAATTTGGAAAAATCAATTAATGTTTACAATAGTTGAGCGACATACCTAACAGCATTTTTATGTCCATCGTAAAATTTAGGTCTTGTATTGTGTGTTTAAGTTTAAGTCTGTTTAGTTATGAAAAATTTGATAATTGTTTAACATTTACTAAATGAAAATGGCAGTAATACAAAAGCAGCCCCACATCTCTAGATTTCTTTTCTTTTATATCTTTCTACAATTCCAAAAATATTCATATAAATTATTTTAGCCACTTGATTTTTTACATCTGCCTTATGCCATTCATTTCTGATCATTAAAAATTTGAGCCATTTGAGTCTAATTAATGTCTATGAAGAAAAAATGATTCTAAAATTCTTAATATCAGAAGCTGGTAATAACTTCATCACAAAGAAATCAATTATAAATCTAATGAGAAAAATAGCTATCTATGGTTTTTCCACTTTTGAAAAATTAATGTTTTGTTTGCACGTCCACAGCCTGATGTGTTGTTTCATAGACACAATAATACACCCATCCCCAGGGATTAACCAAGTGAGCCGTTGAGCAATAAATTATGATAAGCAGAATTGTTGAGAGAATAAAATTATTTAAATTACATGCTGATATTAACTTGCTTACCTCTGGAAGCTTGTACACTCTGCAGATCTCACGAGACACAAAGCTGTGATTGTCCTGCTTCTCTTCATGTTTTGCATGGACCGTCAGCCGCTGGTTATCAGATGTAATTTTAATCTCCTCTGGTTTGTAGTGTTTTAAATCAAAGCGGATTCTGAATTCTTTGTCAGTATTTTGAACCTGAAACAAATAAAATGAGATGTATACTACTATATCAGTATATTTAGGATGTGTAAGGATGATTAGTGGTAAACTGAAGGTGCAGAATGTTTCCCCACTTTCATGCATAAACATTTTACTGAAGATTAGAAAAAAAACTATGGGCCTATGGGTATGAAGGCAAATATCTAATGCACAAGGTTTAACTCTCCTACGGTCTCTTCTATTCAGGCTATAAATTTAAATATAGTATACCCTGACCCTATAGTCACAGCTTTAGGCTATTCAATATAATTTAGGCTAAAAAATAAAATACAGTCACCCCTGCCCCTTGCTTCTATGACTTTGTGCTTTGACTTTTGGGTTTTTTACAACTAATAAATTCATTAATTCATGAAAAAGTTGAGCGAGATGATTGATCATCAATACAATTAGCCAGAACTCTTTTTGTCTAAGTCAATTATACACCCATGTCAATTAAAATTATTTTACCTATTTTCATGGGCTGTACTGTAGCAGCAAACAAGTTATCAAACTCCAACATAGTATAGTATAGGTCAGTTTAGTACTTGTGTGTAACTTAGTAAGAACTGTGTGTGTGTGCGTGTGTAATTAAATGTACAGTAATTAGTAATAGTAATAGTATTAAATTTATAAATAGTCAATAAGTTGATGATTTGCTACTTGTGAATAACACGAGGTAATGGCTCGAGGTGAGTAAAAATTTCATGTCAACCCTCTATAATTATTATGTTAAATTTATAAAGTAAATGTGCCTACCTCTGATTCTCTGTTCAATCCAAAAGCTTGAGGTGAGCGATCACAGTAGTTCGAAAGCTCATCAGCAAGTCGGAAAAGACCGAAGTCGTCAACACTCAGACGTGGTGAAATGGCAAACATTCTGACTCTAGTAGGCAGTATGCAGTTAACAGTAGCGTGTCTCGGTCTTGTAAAGATTTCGTTTTACTGTAACCATCCATCCTGGAATTAGTATTTATACTACACCATAGAGAATTCTGGAAACATCGCTCAAAGCATAGAAGTCTCTCGAGGGGCATGCGCACCATCGCAATCACGGCGTTTTGAATGAAAAATTCAAAACAAACTTGACCCTTCACCTTAACGGTGTGACCTTTCAACTGCTTAACCCAATATTAAACTGGCGATTCGGTTTTCTGGAAAATTCATAAATGTAATACTATATCAAAGAAGATTTTTCATTCGCTTAAAGAAGGCAGCTGACAAAATGAATAATTGTAAAAAATTAATTTATAAATTGTTGAAAGATTTTACTATATTATTCTTCTTCTTTGCCTGTTCAACTACCAGTCATGGAGTCAATTACAATTATAAATTATAAATTATTCAAGTCCAAGCTTGCCGCCGGTCTAATCATCTCAAAAACTTTTCACCTTTTTCCGATCTTTAACATTCTTGTCGACATTTATTCGATTTCAATAAATATGTATTGGCGTTTAAATACATGTTAATGTTTGTTTTTGAACATTTCACCTAGAAGCTACAGAGTATTGGGTACTTATACGTAGTAAGATGATACTATGAAATTTAAACTTAATTTCAAAATAATATATGTTATCAATCGATGTTATTCGCTATGCATGGAAAGTGTGGTTTTACCGTGTGTAATGGCATGGTGAGTACAATAGCACGCAAAGTAAAATTACTGATTACTACGCTAAACCAGATCCTTAAAAATAACGCAAGTGCGTTTGGTGCGTAATATTTTCTTTTGTTTCACGGAAATAGTCTCAAAATCTCAATGTAATTGAAAAAACACGGTGTAATAGGGGGTGAGACATTAGAATATAAGAATATATTTCAGTGGCGTAAAAAAAAAAAGTTTGCGTTGGCCTACCTGAGGAGGGGGTGGGGGGGAGAGGTAGCACTAATTGGGATTCTTGTCAGTTAAGTGCTTTTCTTAAGGAGAATGGAAGTTCACGTTGTTTAAGCGCGCTATAACTAGTTTTTATAATAAATAATAATAATCCTTTGTTTCTAATTTTTAAACAATATATTGATAGCTTATATTGATTATCATAATTTAAATAGTCTTTATTATAATTATTATAACAACAATTATTTAAAAAAAAAAAAAAAAAAAAAAAAAAAAATAATAATAATCCTTTTTTTCTAATTTTTAAACAATATATTGATAGCTTATATTGATTATCATAATTTAAATAGTCTTTATTATAATTATTATAACAACAATTATTTAAAAAAAAAAAAAAAAAAAAGAAAAAAAAATGAGACCAAGTAACGTTTAAAAATTCAATAAACTTTATTTCAAATTATGACCTTGTTTGGAGTAGGCCGCCGAAGCAGGTATATACACTTAACCAAATAGGCCTTCTTCCTTTTTGTTAAATGGTATGTAGGCCTAGGCCCTATAGCTAATAGAAACTTAATCAGTTAGGCCTTCTTCTTTGTTGTTAAAAGGCATGCACGCCTGTAGCTAGCAATGTTCAAACAGTGCCGTCGCGTGGACCGTGCAACCTCGGATATTTAAGGGACCCAAATTTTTCATGTGGCAAAAATTAAACTATTATTTTGATTGCATACACAGAACCAGTGCTGTAGAAAGGGGTGCTTTAATGGGAGGGGGGGTGGCCCGGGCGGCAGTTTTTTTTTTCTATATAGAACCACGCACATATATTATGTAGAATGCATGACTGTTTAGTGCACATCATTATTTCTTTATCGTGCTTTGACGCATCACTGTCATGTAACGACGCCACACTGTCATGTAATGACGCCACACTGTCATGCAATGACGCCACACTGCCATGCTAGGATGCCACACTCTCATGTTATGACGTCGAAATTTCACGTTGTCACGCCACTCTGAAATTCTGTGACAACTACATTGTAAACTTGACACGCCTCTTTGTCTACTAAGTTTTGTCCATTAAACCATCTTGAGTAAATTTAATGCACTCACATTTCTTATTAGGAGCAAAAACGCCAAATTCACCTACCATGATTTAATTTTTAATTTGGTGGCCACACTCTTCGAATAAAAATTTTAAAAAAACAAAAAAAGTTGACAACGCATGACAATGGTCTTTAAAACAATGTCGAAATGATCTAGAATATAGTGAAACGTTTAAAACAGTATACACGGAACAAAGATTTGGTTAGAATCATAGATTCTTAAGTATTAGCATTTACTTGACATCTCCTCACCACCATGAAGCACAGTGAATAAATATCAAGGCATTCATGGGCGCCCGCAGGTAGTGGCAAGGTGGGGCACTTGCCCCCCCCCCTGGATTGATTGGATAAACAATTTTTAGACAAAATTTTTATTAAAGTAAAGAGAAAATAAAGAGAAAGTAACTAAGCTGATGTCCTGTCCGTTCGTTCACCATACAAATACGCTACGGTAAATTAAAACTATATTAAAACATTACTAAAAAAATTTTGCCCCCCCCCCTGGAAAGTTAATCTATTTTTTTGCCCCCCCCCTGGAAAGTTTTCTGCGGGCGCCCATGAAGGCATTGATGTTTACCTTGGTTAAATAAAATATGCATGGTATGAACATATCCATGGCACTAAATAACATGTTGACAAAATTAAAGTACATAACATCTTTTTAATCAATTTTGCATAACATGGAAGTGCCTTTAGCACAGTGGTTCTCAACCTTCCTAGTGCCGCGACCCTTTAATACAGTTTTTTGTGTCGTGGCGACCCCCCCCCACAATTATTTTCGTTGCTACTTCATAGCTGTAAGCATATTTGTTTTCAGATGGTCTTAGGCGACCCCTGGGAAAGGGTCGCGCGACCCCAAAGCCACAGGGGTCGCGACCCACAGGTTGAGAACCGCTGCTTTAGCAGGATTTTTACTTTCTTTTAATGTGGCGCCCTCTCTGTTAGTTGTAAACGGCCCGGCCCTTAATTGAATTTTTATTGGCTAAGCAGATATTTTTTTCTATTATTTAGAAAATGAGGATGTGAAAATAAATATTCTAAATTTTGGTTTCATCTATGACGGTTTCGTTTTCATGATAGAGATATCCTATTGCATTTATAGTAACTAACACTACATTAGACTAAAAGTACAATGATCCTAACAATTCATGAATTCAAACTGATGTTACAATTATCCTAAACTAACATTTCATTAACACTAAAATTACCACAATCCAAACCATCGATAAACAATCATCTCTAACATTAAAAAAATCCTTACTAACGTCACAATTACCATCATTGTTAAATGTAAATTAAAATAATATAATTAAAATTATGTAAAATTTTAGTATAGTTTTAATAAACAGTACTCAGTGCATGAATTATATTTAACAGTTCAAGTATGTTGACAAACATGGCGTTAGTCCAGACATATATTAAATCAGTCCACTTAATATCGTGGGTAAATAAATGTGTGCTGATCAATCGTTTATTTTAACTTTTATTTTTTTTTGTAACAAGTCATGCAAGTGTAGAGAGTAATCTCCCCACCCGAAATCAATGGAAGTTCCCAATTCAAACATCCCCTTGAGATGTTAAGGTATTAATGTATTAGTATTGTTCACAGTGCTCATAACATTGGCACTCACAAACCACTTCCGTATGGTAAGAAAAAATATAGCTCTCTCAAATCTTTGGGCAGAGAGTAAACAACAAGCAACGAAAATCTAGATGCTCAACGCAGTATTTAAATCGTTTCATTGAAAATACGTTATTTACTTCCTTCGCGCCAATACGTTAAAGATGAGACGTGTGGACTTTTAAACGTGAATATAATTACAAACAATGCCGTGTATCAGTGGCGTGACTAGGGGGTGCGGGCCGCACCGGATGACACTCTACAAGAGCAGGGAGCCAGCAGAACAGATAGGCACACGATCAGTGGCTTATCTCAAATTTTGTGACACCAGAATCGGGTCATAGATTTATGGGCGTTTACTTCAGAGAAAAAACAACAACATAATAAACTCTTACTCTTATGTCATTTCCCCTTTAAGGCCTAACTATTTTATCAATTGAAAGTGATACGGTGAAGTGATTGACAGATTTGCATCTTTGAAGACCATGAAAGTAAATTTGTACCTGTAGAGTTTAACGTTTACTTAAAACTTAAATTTGTATGCATTTAAAAAAAAAAGGTGTTATCTTAAAATCTGTTTTCTTTCTATGTCTATTGTTGCTTTAGGACGTAATTATCAAGCAATAATGTATGGCATTTTGTATGATATGGTTAAGAATTACTCCGTGCAGGTCGGGGAGACCAGAAAGGGAGAGAGGTGAGTAACACCATCAGTTAATCGCACCGGGTGGCACCAACCGTAGTGACGCCTCTGCCGGGTATCAACAAGACAAGCCCTACACTACATCAGGAGCTACACCCATCTAGTAACAGTTTCGTTTTGAACACTCTCCCTATTTCAATCATGTGTTGGTATCTGCAGTGGCGTCATCGTCAGTCACTCCCTCCTTACCAAAACGAACCGTATCCACCTGCACGTTAACATCATCGTCTTTTGCCAGCTGCGCATCGCTTCCGGCATCGTATTTGACCTTTCCGAGCTCCACGTCGCTACCGAAGTTCATTCCCCCGTACAGCGCCAGATTTGAACCCACGGCTTTCTTCTGCACCGCGCGGTATCTGTTCCACAACATCCCCACCACGTCGGCTACCAAAGTCCTGTCCGATTTTTGCTCCAGCAGCCTCAAAATGAAAACGCCATCGCTGCGCAGATATTTCTCTATGAAATCTCTCTGAAGATTCTTCCCGGAGCCCGTGGACGCGCCGCTGGAAATCATCGAGGCGATCCCGATATCCAAACACGGATATGAGTCCACGGTCTTTATATAGGTCTTACCGAACAGTATGGTCGAGCACGGGGGTTTGATCTTCACCGACCACGATATCAGATTCACGATCGTAATGATGAACAGAAACACCAGCCAGAACCATTCCAGGACGAAGACCTTCTCCAAAAGTAGGTTAAGGGTCATCGTGCACTGGACCTGGTACTCGGCGGGCTGTGAGCCACCGACGATGGCCTTCCCGCTGCCACCCTCGAGGATGAAATCACAGAGGAGCAGCCGAGGAAAGTTGTAAGGGTCCTGCCAATCGCCGTACGTCATGACGCTGTTCAAGACGACAAGGCCGTACTTCCAGAAGTTCAAGTCCAAGAAGACGGTCAGGAGGATGAAGTTCCCGACGACGTTGATGATGTTCATGCACTTGTAGCACAGGTACAGGGACGACATGTAGCTGCCGGACTTCTTGCCGAGGCAGAAGAGCACCGCCAGGACCTTCGCCGAGTGCTTGCCGACGAACCTGAACTTGTAGGACCTGTACCCCGTGATCCAGTTCTCGAAGTAGCTCACCACTTCGTCCATCTTCAGCCGTTTGGAGTCGTCGGTGGATGCGTTCTGGGACTGGACGACCAGCTCGCGGATCTTTTGGATATCGGCACCGGACGAGCCGCTCAGCCTTAGCCAGATGAAGTTGGGGATTTTGAAGAGACAAGCCTGGAATATATAAGAAATTCTTCTACATAGCCTACCATCAGGAAAAAACAAAAACAGACTAAGAAAAAATTGTTACGCCCGGGCCAACGAATTTTCCTCTCCCTCTTTCACAAAAATCCCCTACAATAGGCCAATGATGTCGTCCCTCCATAAAAGTTTTACAAACATGCCACCCGGGGTGCAATGCCCCCACCACCCCTTTCCTATGCCACTGCTTTGAATATTGGCGTTACCTTGTCTCTAACATACCTACGGGATATTTGTTTACTTTAGCATACTATGCATGTCAAGCTACACGTGTACCGTACTTGAATTCCCCCCAGCCCCCGGGGGTCAATGAGCCCCCTCACTTTAATTGACACCCCAACCCTTCTCACTTGTACATGTACACATGTACGTCCTTAATCACGAATTACTTTGGCCAGCCTATATGCATCACGTCTTTAAAATAGAACACTAATATGCTATTCTACTGAAGGTTTGTGTGGGAGACTTTCATAACGAGAACAGAATTTGAAGAACACAAGGACAGATCAGTTTACGAATTTGGTGAAACAGCAATCAATAGAAACAACTAAATTTTACATGAACTTGGTTTTCCATGACATTTTTAGATTGACATTATTTTATCCAACACACAAATGATTTCAAGCCGTCAAGGGTAGTCTTAAGTAAGTATGTCGTACTGACCTGTACCAGGGCAATCTTAAGTAAATATGCCGTACTGACCTGCACCAGGGAAATCTTAAGTAAGTATGTCGTACTGACCTTTACCAGGGCAATCCTAAGTAAGTATTCCGAACTGACCTGCACCAGGGAAATCTTAAGTAAGTATGTCGTACTGACCTTTACCAGGGCAATCCTAAGTAAGTATTCCGAACTGACCTGCACCAGGGAAATCTTAAGTAAGTGTGCCGTACTGACCTGCACCAGGGCAATCTTAAGTAATTATGTCGTACTGACCTTTACCAGGGCAATCTTAAGTAAGTATGTCGTACTGACCTGCACTATGAAGATCAGCGTCACCCACCGGAAGAAGGCGGTGCCAAAGTCAATCAAGGGCTGTGGGCGTGACGGGTCTAATACCCCTTGCCCTGAAACTGAAAAATCCAAAACTGAATATTTGAAGATGGCCTAGTTGTGAACGGGGGCTTGCTGAAGAAAAGCTGCTTGGGAGATCATAAAAATGGCAGCCCAACGTTTCATCAATTAATGATATATTCCTTAGGCAATTTTTATATCATCTATCTTTATAATTAAAGCTCATTGTGGGTATTTTTATATTATTTTTTTTTAAACTTAGAGACTAAAATTCTACTGGACCTAGAGAGCTTAATTTTTTTCATTACGAGTGTGATACTAAATTAATTTAGATCATTCAACAACGTTTTGTGATAATCAATTGATATCAGGGGAAACTTTAGACAACAAGAGACATTATATTATAATATTATTATAAATTATATTTTACAAAAATTAAATGACATGATTGACATTTGAAAGAGACATACACATAAATTAAACCATACCCAATCATCCCATAATAATCATACCCATGGAATATTCTAAAAAATACCATGACTTTAAAATTATCTGCATATTAGTTTGTTTACCCAAAGGAATTCTAACATACAAATCACTCAGAGCCGTCGCGGTACTCTGGAGACCCACTGTCAATTTTCGGGTTTGTGTGCCCTGCATGCGAGCATAGTCGCCCACCCCACCACATTGCATTTTGAGCCCCGTAAAAAGCCGCAAAGGTTCAGAGCCGTCATGACAGCCCGGGCCTTACCTTCCGTCTGATTGATGACCCCTTCCCTCTCGTACTGGGGATACCTCAGCTTGTGTGTCCAGCAGTAGGTGTTGACGTGGGCCTGGTAGCTCTCGTAGTGGAAGTCCTTCGGGGTCCAGCAGTTGATGGGGTTCCCAACATATTCCTAAAGAAGTGGGGGGGGGGGTCAGAGGTCATTATTGAGTGAAGCTGAGTAGGCTGAATGAGATGATTTACAGTATCCTATTCTAATGTTTGGGGGGGGGGAGTCCAGCAGACTGAAGAAAGAGAAATTGGATAGTAAAACGCAAGGATTAATTACCTGGCAGGTTTAAACTTTCACCTTCATTAGAACTCTTCTACTGGTGGGTTCCCAACATATTCCTAAAGAAGTGGGGGGGGGGGTCAGAGGTCATTATTGAGTGAAGCTGAGTAGGCTGAATGAGATGATTTACAGTATCCTATTCTAATGTTTGGGGGGGGGAGTCCAGCAGACTGAAGAAAGAGACATTGGATAGTAAAACGCACGGATTCATTCACTGGCAGGTTTCAACTTTCACCTTCATTAGAACTCTTCTACTGGATGGTGTAATTAACATGTAGCCCTGTTATGCACCAACTATGCAAAGGTGTCATTGACATGTAATCCTTTTGTACACTAACCAAGCCAAGGTTTCATTGACATATAGCCCTATTGTAACCAAGACTGATCATATTTGACACACCCACCTCTTTCTTGACTTTGCGTTAGTGGCGTAGTTAGGTTTACTGCCACCCATTGTTGATCAACGATCCCCCCTTTCCCAAACAAAAACCCCTCTACAATAGACCAATAATGCCGTCCCTACATTAAAGTGTTTTTTTTAAAGGCCCCCCCGGGTCTCCCCCCCCACACCCCCCCCCCCCCCCGTTCCTATGTCACTGCTTTGACTATTCGCGTTACCGTGTCTCCAATATTACTCATGGGATATTTGTTTACTTTAGCAATATCAAAAATTGTGCATGTTAAACCACAAGTGCCATTGCCTCCGAACCCCCCCCCCTTCCCCCGTAATGAAACACACACCCCTCGCTTCCAATGACACACCCCCCTTTCAATGACATCACTACCTTTCATTGACATCACGACCTTTCAATGACACAACGACCTTTAATGACATTACGACCTTTCAATGACACGCCTCCCTTTCAATGACATGATGACCTTTCAATGACACCACGACCTTTCAATGACACCATGACCTTTCAGTGACACCCCCTCCCTTTCAATGACACCCCTCCCTTTCAATGACATCGTGACCTTTCAATGACACCATGACCTTTCAAAGACCCCATGACCTCTCTCACCTGCAGCCCGGTTCCGATAACGAAACACACCAGGATGGCGACGGTGACGAAGTAATGGAGTCTGTCCACGAAGTCGTCCCCCTTCATGGGCGAGTTGAACACGACATTCGCAGCACGAGCCAACAGCGAGTCCATGCTGTGAGAGGAAAATACAAATGGTAGAAAAGAGAAGCATATGAGGGCGTAAACATGGGACCTAGGAGTAAAAGAAATACCCCCCAATCCCAAACCATACCGTTCCGTAGTTGCCATGTTTTCTTGAACGTTGAGGTGCTCTCCATTTCTTTGTTGTTGTCATTGCCGGATTAACCCAAGGGCAAAGTTTAAGAAACGGGCCGAGAGCACCACGCCCTTTAGAGGCCGCGCAAATTTTTAGGAGCCCCGCGGCTTTTTAGGTACCCCCGCGACTTTTCAGGGGCCCAGTGATTTATAAGGGGCAATACGACTTTTAGGGGCCCAGTGACTTTTTGTTCAGTCCAAAGGATTTGAGGTATCTCCAGTTCCTACTGATATAAAGGTGCCGGAAATCCACTTTGATTTGGGGGGGGGGGGGAAGATTGAGGAGAAAGAGAAATGAAGGACGCCGTCTGCTCCCGATACGAACAAAAGNACCCAAGGGCAAAGTTTAAGAAACGGGCCGAGAGCACCACGCCCTTTAGAGGCCGCGCAAATTTTTAGGAGCCCCGCGGCTTTTTAGGTACCCCCGCGACTTTTCAGGGGCCCAGTGATTTATAAGGGGCAATACGACTTTTAGGGGCCCAGTGACTTTTTGTTCAAGCCAAAGGATTTGAGGTATCTCCAGTTCCTACTGATATAAAGGTGGCGGAAATCCACTTTGATTTGGGGGGGGGGGGAGAGATTGAGGAGAGAAAGAAATGAAGGACGCCGTCTGCTCCCGATACGAACAAAAGTGTGGGCAGGGGTCTGGGGCGGTGGCTCATTAAGCTCCCTCCACCGAAATTGTTTTTATTAATCCAAAATAAAAGGATTCATTTGGGTGCATACATGAATTTAGTTTTGAATCAGTCTACACTTGATTGATTATGCAAAAGAGAAATGCTGTGAAATTTAATTGACCTTTGACCTTGTTGTGTTTATACAAACATTTCATTTTTTTAATTGCTACTAAATATTAAAGTTTTTTTTTTCTTTTACTATTTATTTAAACAAGAATTTTAAACGTATTAAACGCATGTGCGTTTTACGTCAGGAAAACAACAACAACATAATGGTGCAGTGTGTCGCTCAGTCTTAGTTATGTATTGGATCAGGGACCAACATAATGGTGCAGTGTGTCGCTCAGTCTTAGTTATGTATTGGATCAGGGCCCAACATAATGGTGCAGTGTGTCGCTCAGTCTTAGTTATGTATTGGATCAGGGACCAACATAATAGTACAGTGTGTCGCTCAGTCTTAGTTATGTATTGGATCAGGGACCAACATAATGGTGCAGTGTGTCGCTCAGTCTTAGTTATGTATTGGATCAGGGACCAACATAATGGTGCAGTGTGTCGCTCAGTCTTAGTTATGTATTGGATCAGGGCCCAACATAATGGTGCAGTGTGTCGCTCAGTCTTAGTTATGTATTGGATCAGGGACCAACATAATAGTACAGTGTGTCGCTCAGTCTTAGTTATGTATTGGATCAGGGACCAACATAATGGTGCAGTGTGTCGCTCAGTCTTAGTTATGTATTGGATCAGGGACCAACATAATGGTGCAGTGTGTCGCTCAGTCTTAGTTATGTATTGGATCAGGGCCCAACATAATGGTGCAGTGTGTCGCTCAGTCTTAGTTATGTATTGGATCAGGGCCCAACATAATGGTGCAGTGTGTCGCTCAGTCTTAGTTATGTATAGGATCAGGGACCAACATAATGGTGCAGTGTGTCGCTCAGTCTTAGTTATGTATTGGATCAGGGCCCAACATAATGGTGCAGTGTGTCGCTCAGTCTTAGTTATGTATTGGATCAGGGCCCAACATAATGGTGCAGTGTGTCGCTCAGTCTTAGTTATGTATAGGATCAGGGACCAACATAATGGTGCAGTGTGTCGCTCAGTCTTAGTTATGTATAGGATCAGGGCCCAACCTAATGGTGCAGTGTGTCGCTCAGTCTTAGTTATGTATAGGATCAGGGACCAACATAATGGTGCAGTGTGTCACTCAGTCTTAGTTATGTATAGGATCAGGGACCAACATAATGGTGCAGTGTGTCGCTCAGTCTTAGTTATGTATAGGATCAGGGCCCAACATAATGGCGCAGTGTGTCGCTCAGTCTTAGTTATGTATAGGATCAGGGCCCAATGGCCAACGAAGCAGTTATTGAATTCTAGGAATTCTGTCTATTTAAATATAATTTATAAAAAAATTCAAACATTGAATGGGATAATTTGTTTCCTCGTTTTATTTCATTTTAAAAAAAAAATTATTGTCGTCGTGCCACATGCCAAATCATTTAGTCCACCGGCGTCAAGGTGCCCAAAACCGAGTGTACGACCATCACCATCTATTGACAATGAATAGACGGCTATGTGCTCCTATGGTGATTGTACCCAGAAGCTCATACATTTTAATCAGACCACGCAGAATCATGCATAAGAAAAATTATTTTGCAGACACATGTAAATAAATTTCAAAGTCGTAAACCGCAAGAGTGGATTTACTAAACGTAAGACCAATGGAAACCACTTTATTGTTTTTTTGTTGTTTTTTTGTTGTTTTTTTATTAGCAAATCCCAAGGGGTAGCTAGAGCTTGTTATAAAGTATTAAAGAGATTTATTGAGCCCACCCCCCCCCAAAAAAAAAATAAACAAAAAAGACAATCTAATCCCACTTATAATTATACATTTATAGGCATAAAATCAAAACGGCCGCATGTATCTTGATCAAATGGATGCTTCTCGTGGGCACTAATTGCTGGAAGTTGTAATTCTCTCTTTTGACCAAAAAAAAAAAAAAAAAAAAAAAAAATCCAACTATTAATAGATTTTAACATACATTTTTTTCCACCTGTGCGTGCTAAGGCATACGTTCTTTTGTTGTCTGACTGAAGGTCTATATTATCCAAGACGGCACGTTACCCTGGACTAAGCTTGTAATTTCATGTCACCAGATTTTTCAGCCCCACTGCTCGATTTTCAATTGTATAAAGATTTATACCAAAAAAACTATTTTTTTAGGGGTTCTTTAATTTCCCTCTCACTATTTCTATTTAACTGGGTCAGAATATTTAGGTTAGATATACCTTTTATAGAATTGAGAAAATTAAATGTTTTCATAGTTCCAGTATCTCATTATATGTGTAGCGATTCATGGTAAAATAAAATCATGTCTTGAGTCTTTTAATCACTTTGTTGTTGTTCGTTTCACTTTGCAAAAACTGCCGCACACCCCATTATAGAGAAAAAAAAGTGCCATCTAGAGCAGACCGCCTCCCCCTTCCACGTTACAATTCCTACGCCAATGACTAGGTCTCAGTCCGGCATTGGTAGTTGTGGTCAGAAGCTTTAAACAAATTAATACATTTAAAAAAACAAGAAAACAACAACAACAACAAAAAACAGCAGTAGATTGGCATCGTAAGGCAAGTATTGTCTGGTGAGACGGAATATAGGTCGATATGTGCAGTAGATTGGCATCGTAAGGCAAGTATTGTCTGGTGAGACGGAATATAGGTCGATATGTGCAGTAGATTGCATCGTAAGGCAATTATTGTCTGGTGAGACGGAATATAGGTCGATATGTGCAATAGATTGGCATCGTAAGGCAAGTATTGTCTGGTGAGACGGAATATAGGTCGATATGTGCAGTAGATTGCATCGTAAGGCAATTATTGTCTGGTGAGACGGAATCTAGGTCGATATGTGCAGTAGATTGGCATCGTAAGGCAAGTATTGTCTGGTGAGACAGAATATAGGTCGATATGTGCAGTAGATTGGCATCGTAAGGCAAGTATTGTCTGGTGAGACGGAATATAGGTCGATATGTGCAATAGATTGGCATCGTAAGGCAAGTATTGTCTGGTGAGACGGAATATAGGTCGATATGTGCAGTAGATTGCATCGTAAGGCAATTATTGTCTGGTGAGACGGAATCTAGGTCGATATGTGCAGTAGATTGGCATCGTAAGGCAAGTATTGTCTGGTGAGACAGAATATAGGTCGATATGTGCAGTAGATTGGCATCGTAAGGCAAGTATTGTCTGGTGAGACGGAATCTAGGTCGATATGTGCAGTAGATTGGCATCGTAAGGCAAGTATTGTCTGGTGAGACGGAATATAGGTCGATATGTGCAGTAGATTGGCATCGTAAGGCAAGTATTGTCTGGTGAGACGGAATATAGGTCGATATGTGCAGTAGATTGTGATTGGCATCGTAAGGCAAGTATTGTCTGGTGAGACGGAATATAGGTCGATATGTGCAGTAGATTGGCATCGTAAGGCAAGTATTGTCTGGTGAGACGGAATATAGGTCGATATGTGCAGTAGATTGGCATCGTAAGGCAAGTATTGTCTGGTGAGACAGAATGTAGGTCGATATGTGCAGTAGATTGGCATCGTAAGGCAAGTATTGTCTGGTGAGGCATAATGTAGGTCGATATGTTAAGTATATGGGCATTGTAAGGCAAGTATTGTCTGGTGAGACAGAATGTAGGTCGATATGTGCATTAGGTGGGCATCGGAAGGCAAGTATTGTCTGGTGAGACAGAATGTAGGTCGATATGTGCAGTAGATTGGTATCGGAAGCCGAGCCTTGTCTGGTGAGATAGAATGTATCTCCATATGTTCAAACCAGAAACACTGACTTAGGAAAGGTGGGGCAAAGGTTACTATCTATTGATGGGCGACATTTTATCTCAACTAAAGACATTTTTTTCGTAGGTTAAGAATTTTTGAAAATCATCTTGGTCCATCAAGGGCGGCAATAATCCTTAGCTACGCCAAGGGATGCTATTATCATAGATTGGGCAACATAGAAGTACGTCTCATCGCTCAATGAAATTTAAATTAACACTTCCTTTTTATGGAATCGGTAACATGAGAACCACTGTGTCTGATCTTTTACTGCATCAAACTTCCAGTCGTAGCTCAAACAAAAGTATTGACATTAAAATATAGTTTAAAATGATATTTCAATTTTTTTTTAATATGTAATCAACTACACATTCACCAACACAATCCCCCCACCCCCCCACCCCCCCCCAAAAAAAAATCATCTGCACAATCATACATAAAATCCCGCTAGATAATCCGGCTCAAACCAGACTTTCTAGTGTCTCAATATTGATTGCCTACCTGGGGACACTTGTCAAAAGGGTAGCCATGTTCACTCATGTGACTGTTAATAGATTTACTTTCACTACTGACTGTGACCCACTACGTATCAATTTCAGTGCTGACTTGTGATCTACTACAGGACTACTTTCAGTGCTGACTTGTGATCTATTCTATATATCCACTTTCACTTCTGACTTGTGACCTACTACATAACAATTTCAGTTCTGACTTGTGATCTACTATAAATCTACTTTCAGTGTTGACTGTTGACCTACACTATATTTCGTTTTTAGGCCCTCAATTTGATCTGTGTGAATGATATCGCCTATATAACAAAAGTGTTCATCTCAAAATAGCCACTGATCCGTCTAAGCAACTGAGGCCTTATCCCTGTCATCAAAATCAAGAATCGCTTCACTACCTTTGACACACGTGTTAAATAGATGAGTTTAACACTGACAAATCCTAGTTTTATATTGTGCCTTGTACACGCCAACAAACGTTGGGTCGAATAGATGATCCAGTTGTTTCATGTGTACAGCTCAGTACAAGTCGGGTACAGAGTCCAGTAAACCACATAATATTCTGTACATTCGTGTACAGTGTCCTGTCAACAACACAATATAGTCTGGTACAGTGTCCTGTCAACAACACAATATAGTCTGGAACAGTGTCCTGTCAACAACACAATATAGTCTGGTACAGTGTCTTGTCAAACACACATTATAGTCTGGTACAGTGTCCTGTCAAACACACATTATAGTCTGGTATAGTGTCCTGTCAACAACACAATATAGTCTGGTACAGTGTCCTGTCAACAACACAATATAGTCTGGTACAGTGTCCTGTCGAACACACATTATAGTCCGGTACAGTGTCCTGTCAACAACACAATATAGTCTGGTACAGTGTCCTGTCAAACACACATTATAGTCTGGTACAGTGTCCTGTCAAACACACATTATAGTCCGGTACAGTGTCCTGTCAAACACACATTATAGTCTGGTACAGTGTCCTGTCAAACACACATTATAGTCTGGTACAGTGTCCTGTTAAACACACAATATAGTCTGGTACAGTGTCCTGTCAAACACACATTATAGTCTGGTACAGTGTCCTGTCAAACACACAATATAGTCTGGTACAGTGTCCTGTCAACCACACAATATAGTCTAGCACAGTGCCCTGTCAACCACAAAATATAGTCGGGTAAAGTGTCCTTTCAATCATACTATATAGTTTATTACAGTGTCATCTCAACCACACAATATAGTTTATTACAGTGTCGTGTCAATCACACACTATAGTCTAGTACAGTGTCCTGTCAACCACACAGTATATGTCTGGTAGAGTGTCCAATCCAATACATGGCACAGTCCAATACAAACATCATAACACTTCAAGGCATATCCTGATAATCCAAGAGCTAAGACTGTCTATGAACAGTAACTGCGACAGGTTAATATAACGTCTATGGCCAGTGAATACTGCTACAGGATTTTCACCTCTTCGGAACAGAAAGACACATTGCGACAAACCTTCCTCTTTATGGTACGTAAGGGGCTCTCAAAACTTAAAAAAAAAATACACGTCTTAAATACATATGGTTGTTTGGCTAGTTGCGTGTGTTCTGTGCCAGTGATATTAAAAATGAATGTTCCATTCTTGTTACAGTAAGTTATAGATCAGTGATGTCCCAACTTTTCCACCCAAAAACTAGAAAATATTATTCAACGTTGTGTAGCGCTCCATTCACGTCCTTTAAAAAAATGTAGTTTGGTTTGCTGGTGTTTGGCCTTCTAAGAAATTAAGTGTTGGTTTTTTTTTTTTACATTCTGTGGATTCAATTATTTGAAATCAATTTTCAGGATCTAATGCCCGCATACACATTTGCATTCCTTTAAATTGTATTTGCTTCTTTAAATCTAGTGACATACTGGTTGAAAACATCTGGCGTGTATTGTTAAGGGTGTTATGGCTCACAAAATAAGGAAGCGTGGATAATTTAAGAGAGCTTTTCGTCAGTTGCCTTTGAAAAATCCTCATTTATTACGTCTTTTTTGGTTAAAAACTACAACTACAACGAACTCCTACTGACCCCCTAGCCAATTAGAGATCCCATGGCTCGTTAGTGGCACGTATTCCACAAAGGTCAGCAACTTTTTTTTTGAAGGGGTGGGTCCTTTGTATTTCAAAGCTGCTAAGATTTTTTTTGGGAAGCCGAAGTCATGGGCGTAGCGTTCCAAATGTCATCATAGATTAGTAAAATAATGAGACCCATCTTTCCAAAGGGTTGGCAACCACTGCAATAGTAAATCTAAGCACCCGAGTTGATCAATTTAATTTTGTTCAATCATTTTTTCGACTGCCGAAAATTCAGTTTGAGAACCCGTTACCTTTCCCATTCAGTTCGTACACCACCAACGACAACACATGAAGTAAGCCTACTGTTTAAAAAAAAATGTCCATTGAATACCTTGCTCATAAAAATCTCAACGTAAATCATAACATAGCAAAGATTCCCGCCTGGTGTGTTACCTATCAGCCAGACACCACCTACCTAAGCGCCCCGGCGTGCTACCTATCAGCCAGACACCACCTACCTAAGCGCCCCGGCGTGCTACCTATCAGCCAGACACCACCTACGATTCGCGGGGCCGCAGCTACCTATCAGCCAGACACAACCTACCTAAGCGCCCCGGCGTGCTACCTATCAGCCAGACACCACCTACCTAAGCGCCCCGGCGTGCTACCTATAAGCCAGACACCACCTACCTAAGCGCCCCGGCGTGCTACCTATAAGCCAGACACCACCTACCTAAGCGCCTTCAGGTGTTTCTGGGTTGGGCTCATGAGGTACTGTACAAGACGTTGTCATAGTCCAAGACTGTGGAGAAGGACCTCTTGGAACCTGGATCATTTTTCAAAATCAGTTCCAGCGGGAGTCCCTGAAATGCAGCGTCAGTGGCGTAGCTAGGGTGAGTGCCACCCTAGAAGGGACCAGTACCCTCCATACAAAGGGAAAGAAATGTCCTCCTACTCCAGTACGCAGCTTCGCCGTGACGGAGTTGGATTAACGGATCGGGAAGCGCTCTCCGTATTCCTTTCGCTGTACGCTAAAATGTACTTTTTTTTATCAATTATAATAGAGCGTCGATTTTCAGAACTAATTGAGACCGGGTATTGTTTTCGGATGACCCATTTTTCGAATAACCGAACACTCCCACGGAAAGAAGTTAGTGCATAAAATGCACTATCCATGGTGATTGACTGCACAGTGGATTATGGAATGTGCGTCATATAAACCAGCTGATTGGCAAAAAGAGGTCTTTTATTTTTAAAAAAAAATAGATGACCGCTGTTAAAATAAATCCGATGTCGCTATTTGACCCGCAGCTGTGTCTTCTGCCATTGACATTAATTAACAAGTTTGCTGATGGCATCATCCCCAGTGTGGTCGATGCAGTGCTAAAGTAAATATCAATACTATGCCTGGATAGTGCTCCAAGGGGTCGGAATGCATTGTCCAGTGTTTTCAGCCCAATGTTCCCATTGCTTGCTGCTCGGCTAAGCCATGCTTTGGGTGATCGGCATTATGAAAATTATCTGTCAACGCAACTATTATGTGGGATTCTATAATGTGTATATTAATAGTTTATATTTATATATATAATAATAATAATAATGAAGTTCATTTCAAAAACACGCTTCATCCCCAAAGGCTCGAAGCGCGGTACAAAGTCAACAAAAAACATATCTATAATTTACCACATTTAAAACAAACGCAACACTACAAAAACTAATTACAAGCATATAATCTCAAATTCTTTCTAGCCATTTCAACCCGGAGCAACACAGCCATTATGCATTAACTGGAAAATAAGGTAGACACAACACCTGAAAAGATGCCATTAATAAGCAAGCCTCAGTCGTAGGTATGAATCTCTTCATACAATAAAGAAGAAAATGATCTCTAATTATTATTGCACCGACAGAAGTGTTTCACATTTTAAGTATTTTCGAACGGAAGTTTATTTGAACGGAAGTTTGTTCGAAATGAAAAAAAGAAGCAGAGCAGTGCCCTTTGGCTCGATTTTTTTTTATTGCGGCGAGTGACATCACTAGAGGGGTGGAAATGACACCCTCACAGGGGTGTACACAGCCTCACGGGGAGGCAGGGCTGTCAAACTTTAAAAAAAAAACAACTGAAATTGACGGAACAATGTTCTAAAACTGCTACTTTGTTAGGGACGAATTTGAAAATAATAGATTAATAAATCCTTCTCGACAACGTTTGTATGATTATGTCTGCATGATTATGTATGTATGATTAGGTCTGTATGACTAACGTTTGAGCACATTTTGTAACGTCATTTTGTGGTATGGCATTCTCATCAGTGTTAGATTTCTCCTGATTATGATCCTACAAGTTTCAAGCAATTTAGAAAAAATAAAATAGAATTTGGGATCTACCGTTCTTGCATGGTCAAATTTTTACATTTTTTTTACGGAAATTCTAAAGTTATTGAAGACATTTAAGGATAAGTGAAGTTACGTTCTAAAGTAATTGAGGACATGTTCGGATAAGTCAAGCGACATTTTAAGTTATTGAGGACATTTACAGATAAGTCAATTGACATTCTAAAGTTATTGAAGACATTTACGTATAAGTCAATTGACATTCTAAAGTAATTGAGGACATGTCCGGATAAGTCAATTGACACTCTTAAGTTATTGAGGACATTTACGGATAAGTCAAGTGACATTCTAAAGTTCTTGAGGACATTAACGGATAAGTCAATTTATTCCAAATTTTATTGACTGCTCATAAACTTACGAATGGCTGGTAACCCTGAAGGTGGGGTTGACGCCAAGTGGAAAATGAACATTTGAAAAAGTTCACCCGCGTCAGTTTCATCAAAGAACTCAGTTAACCCAGACTAGGGTGCCACCAAATCATGGTGCCACTAGAACAGGGTGTCACCAGGCTAGGGTGCCACCAGAACAGAGTGCCAACCAGACTAGGGTGCCACCAAATCATGGTGCCACTAGAACAGGGTGTCACCAGGCTAGGGTGCCCCCAGAACAGAGTGCCAACCAGACTAGGGTGCCACCAAATCATGGTGCCACTAGAACAGGGTGTCACCAGGCAAGGGTGCCCCCTGAACAGAGTGCCAACCAGACTAGGGTGCCACAAAATCATGGTGCCACTAGAACAGGATGTCACCAGGCAAGGGTGCCCCCAGAACAGAGTGCCAACCAGACTAGGGTGCCACAAAATCAAGGGGGCCCTAGAACAGGATGTCACCAGGCTAGGGTGCCACCAGAACAGAGTGCCAACCATACTAGGGTGCCACAAAATCATGGGGGCCCTAGAACAGGATGTCACCAGGCTAGGGTGCCACCAGAACAGAGTGCCAACCATACTAGGGTGCAACAAAATCATGGGGGCCCTAGAACAGGATGTCACCAGGCTAGGGTGCCCCCAGAACAGAGTGCCAACCATACTAGGGTGCCACAAAATCAAGGGGCTCCTAGGACAGGGTGTCACCACGTTAGGGTTCCACCAGAACAGAGTGCCAACCAGACTAGGGTGCCACAAAATCATGGTGACCCTAGAACAGGATGTCACCAGGCTTAGCACAGGGTGTCACCACGTTAGGGTGCCACCAGGACAGAGTGCCAACCAGACGAGGGTGCCACAAAAGCATGGGGGCCCTAGAACAGGATGTCACCAGGCTAGGGTGCCACCAGAACAGAGTGCCAACCAGACTAGGGTGCCACAAAATCATGGGGGCCCTAGAACAGGATGTCACCAGGCTAGGGTGCCCCC